CATCATGGTCTACCTCCTAGAATTTCCCCTCCCTTTCCCTGTCTAATTAAATATTAATTTTCTAAAATTCAAATAATGTCTTCTCTGATAATTTTTTTTTTTGAGATGAAATCTTGCTCTGTTACACAGGATTGAGTGCATTGCTATGATCTCAGCTCACTGCAACCTCTGCCTTCTGGGTTCAAGCAATTCTTCTGCCTCAGCCTCCCGAGTAGCTGGTACTATAGGTGTGTGCCACCACGCCTGGCTAATTTTCGTATTTTTAGTAGAGATGTGGTTTCACCATGTTGGCCAGGCTGGCCTCGAACTCCTGACCTCGTGATTCGCCCAACTCAGCCTTCCAGAGTGCTGGGATTACAGTCATGAGCCACTGTGCCCAGCCAAGGAGGGCTTGTTAAACCAGCTTGCTGCCCCACACCCACTGCTGGAGTGGGTCTGGATGCACTCTGAGAATCCTCATGTCTAACATTTTCCCAGGCGATTGATGCCCATGCTACTGGTCCTGAGCCCAGAATTTAAGAATCACTGTCCTAGACCATCACTCATCCTCTAAAGACCTAACTTCTGCCTCTGTGCTTCCATTATTTTAGTGCATGCCGCTTGTGAGTTATCACCATACGCCTGTCTCTTCTGCTAGTTTCTGAACAGCTCAAAGCTAAGATCCTGTCCTAATCATCCTTGTTTTCCCTAGCGCCTGATATATTGCCCCTGCACATCTGGTGCTCCTTGATATAGGATGAATAAAATATTTCCCTTTATCTTTGCTCTGATTGAATTATATTTCTACTAGTTACATCCTTTCAGCATTCCATTATTAGGAGCAAGTGGGGTGGAGAATGAGGAATGGGAAATGTTTAAGAGAAATAGTGCTATTTTGGCTCATCATATTCTAGTCTGATTTCCATTCTAGTCTGATTTCTTCATTGCCCTGAGAAAGCTGAAGTGGTCAGTCCTGTAGATATCAGCAGAGGGGACTCAGGAGGTGTCTTCTAAGGCCTTGGTATTTAATGTGCAGTCAGGGAGCTTGTTAGAAATTTTTAATTTCTGGTCTCACTCAAGATATACCGAATCAGAATTTTTTTTTCTTTTTTGAGACAAGATCTCGCTATGTTGGCCAGGCTGGTCTCAAACTCCTGGGCTCAAGAGATCCTCCTGCCTCAGCCTACCAAATAGCTAGGACTACACGTGCATTCCACCACACCCAGCTCTAAAGACTAACTGTAGTCAGAAGTGATCAGACCCTGAATAAGTGACTCACATTATTAAAATTTACAAATTATTATAATACACAATTCATTGCTATTATTACTATAAAGGAATAAATAACTGGTACACCAACTGGATGTTGGTGTGCTCAGCATATTCACTCCTATAATTCATTATATATGTTGGAAAACCACAACCACACACTTCTTTTTTTATTTTGAGACAGAGTCTTGTTCTGTTGCCCTGGCTGATGTGCAGTGGCATGATCTCAGCTCACTGTAACCTTTGCCTCCCAGGTTCAAGCAGTTCTGCTCCTGCCTCATCCTCTCTCGTAGCTGGGATTACAGGCATGCATCACCACACCTGACTAATTTTTTGTATTTTTAGTAGAGATAGGGGTTTTACTATGTTGGCCAGGCTGGTCTTGAACTCCTGATCTCAAGTGATCTGCCTGCCTCACCCTCCCAAAGTGCTGGGATTGCAGGGCATGATGAGGCACTGTGCCCAGCTCACAACCACACCCTTCTTAATACTTGACTGAGAAATCAGAACAGGGGTCAATATCCTGGAATGCCAAATGATCCTTTCTTTGCACACAGACTCAAAGGAAATTAGATCATAATCTAAAGGTTGTTGAGTGACCTCAGAATTAAGACTAAAGAACTTTTTAGGGATTGAAAACTCAAAGGTTGCAGATACCAGGAAAGTCATGTAAAGGAGCCAGGCGGGGCAGGTGAGGACCGTGACCACCTAGGTAGTCCATATCTCACCTACAGGGAGCAGTTGCTACTTAGCTTCAGCTAATTTTTGTCCCGTGCAATACAGTATTACTAGATATGCCCTTTTTTCAAGTGAACTTAAGAATCTATATTTTGTATGAAAGTGTGTTTTAAATCTTGGCAACTCATTCAAAAATTTTGTAAATTCAGTAATACTCTTTCTGTTTTTTTAGAGATAGAGTTTTGTTCTGTCACCCAGGCTCCCAGGCTATAGTGTAGTGACGTAATTCTAGCTCATTATAACCTTGAATTCTTGGGTTCAGGCCAGCATGGTGGCTCACGCCTGTAATCACAGCACTTTGGGAGGCAGAGGTGGGTGGATCACGAGGTCAGGAGATCGAGACCATCCTGGCCAACATGGTGAAACCTCAACTTAAAAAAAAAAAAAAGAAAAAGAATTCCTGGGCTCAAGGGATCCTCCTGCCTAAGCCTCCTGCAAGGCACATGCCGCTAGAGATGGGGTCTTATATTGCCCAGGGTGCTCTCGAACTCTTGGCCTCAAGTGATTTTCCCTCCTAAGCCTCATGAAGTGCTGGGATTACAGCCGTGAGCCAGCATGCCAAGTCTACAATATTATTATTATTATTATTATTTTTTGAGATGGAGTCTCACTTTGTGGCCCAGGCTGGAGTCCAGTGGCATGATCTCAGCTCACTGCAACCTCTGCCCCCTGGGTTCAAGCAATTCTCCTGCTTCAGCCTCCCAAGTAGCTGGGATTATGGGTGCCTGCCACCATGCCTGGCTAATTTTTGTATTTTTTGTAGAGTTGGGGTTTCACCATGTTAGCCAGGCTAGTCTCAAACTTCTGACCTCAGGCGATCCACCCACCTTGGCCTCCCACAGTGCGGGGATTACAGGCGTGAGCCACTGTGCCCGGCCTTTATTTTTATTTTTACTTTTCCACACTAAACCAACATAGCTGACATCAATCCTAATCTGGTTTTCACCTGATCTGCACCTTGCCCCGAGTTTCTTTTCATCAAATCAAATCATGTATCTCTTTTGTCCTCCTCCCCACATCCTATCTTTACCTCCCTGCCAGCTTAACCAATACAATACAGTACCTTGTTGTGGTGCAGACAAAGTCTAGTATCTTCTGGTGAAGGTTTTGATTCTCCTGTCTCCATTTTCAAAGAATCCTGGAGGCTTACTCAAGCTAAAGAAGGGGGCAGTCCCACATCCAGGAGTCAGAAACAGACCAATTACCAGGTCTCTGCTAACAGTGCATGGCTAGAGTTGTGTCTCTTGTGTCTCTGTACCACTCTGTACCATGTGGTGTTGCTGTTAAAACCCAGTCCAGCATGGTCCCATGCATACATGTCTCCACTGAAGTGGCTGCTTGCTGGTCCAAGTCCCTCCATAGGCCCAAGTGATGCCCTCCCAGTTTGATTCCAAGGTTATGGCTCTCAATTCATACTTATATGCTAGGTGACTCTTGACTATAATATTAGGCCATTGTGGCTGGATGTTAGGGCTTTGACTCTCCATCACTTGCTGTACTAAAACCAATCCTTTTCAGCCAAACCCATGTTGAGTCTTGTTCAGGAATTTAGGTGCTCCCTTTCTTTCTAGTGAATTCTCTTGTAAGCTGGCTCATAGACCACTCTATCAGAGTTCCATAACTTCAGACTTTGGAGAGTAGGGGCTATGATTTTCTTCCCTTTGCTCTTAAAAGATCCCTGGAGGCTGGGCACAGTGGTTCATGCCTATAATCCTAGCACTTTAGGAGGCCAAGGCGGGTGGATCACTTGAGGTCAGGTGTTTGAGACCAGCCTGGCCAACATGGTAAAATCTCGTCTCTACTAAAAATACAAAAATTAGCTGTGCATGGTGGCAGGTGCCTGTAATTCCAGCTACTTGGGAGGCTGAGGCGGGAGAATTGCTTGAACCTGGGAGGCAGAGGTTGCAGTAAGCTGGGAGTATGCCACTGCACTCCAGCCTGGGCAACAGAGTGAAACTCCGTCTCAAAAAAAAAAAAAAAAAAAAAAAATCAGAATCGTGACCATCACCTGCATTATCATATATTATATATTAATTTCCTATTACTGCCATAACAACTTACCACCCCGCGTGCCTTAGAACAACAAAAATTTATTTTCCCACAGTTCTGAAGGCCGGAAGTCAAAAATCAAGGTGTTAGTAAGACCACATTGGTAACAGAATCTCTAGGGGAGAATCCTTTCTTCCCTCTTCTAGTTTCTGATGGCTTCAGGCAAGGGTTCCTTGGCTTGTGGCTGTGTGATTCCAATCTCTCTCTGCATGTTCAACGTGGCCTTTTTTTCTGTCTCCTTGTGTCTTCTCCTCTTCTATTTATTTTTAATAAGAACAATTGTCATTGGATTTAAGACTCATCTAGATAATTCAGGATGAATTTATCTTGAGATTCTTAATTATATTTGTAAAGACTATTTTTCTGAATAAGGTCACATTCCAGGAGGTAGGACACAGACATATCTTTTCTGGGGCCCTCATTCAAACCCCTACATATTATTTTATAGATGAGGAAATTTGGAATGAGAGAGATTAAGGAATTCACCCACAGCAAATTAGTCCCCTTCTGCCACAGAGTTCCACTTAAGAACAGCAGATTTTGTAAAACTTCACACACTAAAACAATGTTGTTACACTCTTCTTATGGGACATTTGGTTCCTGCTGATCCTACATTTGTATAACTGAAGGAATCATTCAAGTGTTCAAGTGTGCCACCTCTAGATCAGCTTCTAGTTTCAGGTGTATCTTACCAAGTATGATGACATCATGTTACATTACATCATAAAATTATGGCCCACTATCCTATTCTCAGGACCTTAGATACTGAAGAATGAAAACCCATGGCCTTATTCTAGCCAGTGAATTCAACCTCTGTCCCACTTTACTAGCCATTCCCCTGAACAGGAATAGTACAGACTGGCTTGTGTTTCATCTCATTGCGGAATGCAAGAGTGAGAAGGCTGAGAAACAGGGGAGTGAAATAATATAAAGTGTGTATAACATATTTCAGATCTCTTGCGAGGGGGAGTCTACCAGGTTTATTACATTCAGCTCAGAGATGGTTCTGTGGTTGTGGAGCTGGCCTTGTAGGGATTCTTCACCAGCTTGGCACACCGAACAATCATCACTATTAGGAACAGAAACAGAAGAACAACAAAGGCAATGGCAAAGCCTTTGTCCACATCAACACTACGTGACAAGCTTGAATCTTCCATGGGGACTTGCACCTCGTTACTGTTGTCCAGCTCCGGCTACTTCCTCAGGTACAGCTTCAGATTTGTCATATTCCTAGACAAAGGAGGATAAAACGGGCTTATTGATTTGTGCATATATATATATGTGTGTTTTCTTAATAACATTGTAAAAAACCAAAAAGGGACCAATGGTTGAAAAAAGATCAGCAAGAGTTACTTAAGAAGCAGTTACGGGGTCGGGCACGGTGGCTCACGCCTGTAATCCCAGCACTTTGGGAGGCCGAGGTGGGCGGATCACGAGGTCAAGAAATCGAGACCATCCTGGCCATGGTGAAACCCCGTCTCTACTAAAAATACAAAAATTAGCTGGGCGTGGTGGTATGTGCCTGTGGTCCCAGCTACTCGGGAGGCTGAGGCGGAAGAATTGCTTGAACCCAGGCGGAGGTTGCAGTGAGCCGTGATTGCTCCATTGCACTCCAACCTGGCGACAGAGTAAGACTCCGTCTCAAAAAAAAAAAAAAAAAGAAGCAGTTACAAAACTGGTAAAGTTCATATAGATGACTGACAAGATATACATATATACACAAGCATAAAATATATGGAGAATTATTCCAAGGCAAAACGTGAGCAAATTTATACAACCTAGAATTCAGGTGGACCTTCCTTGTCCCCTAAGATCCAGGTAAAACTGTCCTAAACATCTGAATTCTGTGTTAGGTAAAAATCCTCCTCTAAGATTACTTCAAATTCCAAGAGTACTTATTGTATCTATTTGTTATATAGTCTTAACTCACTGCACATGAAATTGTTTTATTTTTTCTGATCATTACATGTAATTGTGCTGTCATTCTCATATCTTCATGAAAAATTAGGTATATCCCAGAAGTGATCAATTTCAATTATTAAAATTTATAGGCCGGGTGGGGTGGCTCACGCCTGTAATCCCAGTACTTTGGGAGGGTGAGGCAGGCAGATCACAAGGTCAGGAGTTTGAGACCAGCCTGGCCAACATGGTGAAACACTGTTTCTATTAAAAGTACAAAAATTAGCCGGACGTGGTGGCGGGCACCTGTAACTCCAGCTTCTCAAGAGGCTGAGGCAGGAGAATTGCTTGAACCTGGGAGGCAGAGGTTGTAGTGACCCGAGACCATGCCATTGTACTCCAGCCTGGGTGACAAAGCAAGACTCTGTCTCAAAAATAAAACAAAACAAAAAAACTTACTCCACCAAGAAAATTCTGAAAAAGAAAAACAAAGTAAGAGAACTCATACTTCCTAATTTAAAAAACTCACTACAAAGCTACAGTAATCAAAACTGTGATACTGGTACAAAGATAGACATACAAATCAATGGAATAGAATTGAGAGTCCAGGGCTGGGTGCAGTGGCTAATGCTTATAATCGCAGAACTTTGGGAGGCTGAGGCAGGTGGATCACTTGAGGTTAGGAGTTCGAGACCAGCCTGGCCAACATAATGAAATCCTGTCTCTACTAAAAAAAAAAAAACAAAAATTAGCCAGATGTGGTGGTGCACGCCTGTAGCCCCAGCTACCCAGGAGACTGAGGCAGGAGAATCGCTTGAAACTGGGAGGTGGAGGTTGCCGTGAGCCGAAAGTGTGCCACTGTACTCCAACCTGGGCGACAGAGTGAGACTCTATCTCACAAGAATAATTAAGAGTCCAGAAATAAACCCATATATCTATGACCAAATAATTTTTTTTTTTTGAGATGGAGTCTCACTCTGTTGCCAGGCTGGAGTGCAGTGGTGCCATCTTGGCTCACTGCAAACTTCGACTCCAAGATTCAAATGATTCTCCTACCTCAGCCTCCTGAGTAGCTAGGAATACAGGCATGTGCCACCACACCCAGCTAATTTTTGTATTATTTAGTAGAGAGGGGGTCTTACCATGCTGGCCAATATGGTCTCAATCTCTTGACCTCAGGTAATCCACCCACCTCAGCCTCCCAAAGTGCTGGAATTACAGGCATGAGCCACTGCGCCTGGCCAACTTTTGTGCTTTAAAAAGATTATTATGGCCGGGCACGGTGGCTCAAGCCTGTGATCCCAGCACTTTGGGAGGCCGAGGCGGGTGGATCACGAAGTCAAGAGATTGAGACCATCCTGGTCAACATGGTGAAACCCCGTCTCTACTAAAAATACAAAAAATTAGCTGGGCATGGTGGCACGTGCCTGTAATCCCAGCTACTCAGGAGGCTGAGGCAGGAGAATTGCCTGAACCCAGGAGGCGGAGGTTGCGGTGAGCCAAGATTGCGCCATTGCTCTCCAGCCTGGGTAACAAGAGTGAAACTCTGTCTCAAAAAAAAAAAAAAAAAAAAGATTATTATGGAGGCTGGACGCGGTGGCTCATGCTTGTAATCCTAGCATTTTGGGAGGCCAAGGTAGGCGGATCACGAGATCATGAGGTCAAGACCACCCTGGCCAACATGGTGAAACCCCTCTCTACTAAAAATACAAAAATACCAAAAAAAAAAATTAGCTGAACGTGGTGGTGCACCACCACTCAAAAAAAAAAAAAAAAAGAAGAGACCAGGCGCTGTGGCTCACGCCTGTAATCCCAGCACTTTGGGAGGCCGAGGTGGGTGGATCACGAGGTCAAGAGATAGAGACCATCCTGGCCAACATGGTGAAATCCTGGCCAACATGGTTAAACCCTGTCTCTACCAAAAAATACAAAAATTAGCTGGGCGTGGTGGCGCGTGTCTGTAGTCTCAGCTACTCGGGAGGCTGAGGCAGGAGAATTGCTTGAACCCAGGAGGCGGAGGTTGCGGTGAGCCAAGATTTCACCACTGCACTCCAGCCTGGCGCCTGGTGACAGAGTGAGCCTCTGTCTAAAAAAAAAAAAAAAAAAAATCAAAAAATAGAAAAGAGATTATTACATAGAAAATGGGCTGGGTGCAGTGGCTTACTCCTCCCAGCAGTTTGGGAGGATGAGGTGGGAGGATCACTTGAGGTCAGGAGTTTGAGACCAGTCTGGGCAGCATGGAGAGACTTTGTTTCTTAATTTTTTGTTAGCCAGATGTGTGGCATGTGCATGTAGTCCTAGCTACAGGTGTGTAGGCTGATGCAGAAGGATCCTTTCGGCCCAAGAGTTCAAGGTTATAGTGAGCTATGATTGTACCACTGTACTCCAGCCTGTGTGACAGAGGGAGACCTGGTCAATTAAAGTTACAATGAAACAAGGAAAAGACAAACAACTCAATTAAAAATTAGGCCAAGGATCTGAATAGAAATTACTTCTTCTTCATAAGGAAGATATGCAAATGGCCAACAAACACATTTTTTAAATGGTCAACATAATTAGTCATCAGGGAAATGGAAATCAAAACTTTGAGATACCACTTCACATCCACTAGGATGGCTGGAATCAAGTCAGATTAAATGTTGGCAAGAGCGTAAAGTAACTGACTGTTGGTGGAAATGTAAAGTGACAAAGTTACTTTGGAAAACAGTCTGGAAGTTCCTTAAATTATTAAACCTTAGAGTTACTGGCAAGGTATGGTGGCTCATGCGTGTAATCCCAGCACTTTGGGCAGCTGAGATGGGTGGAGGATCACTTTAGCTCTGGAGTTCAAGACCAGCCTGGGCAATATGGCAAACCTCCCTCTCTACAGAAAATACAAAAATTAGCTGGATGTGATGGCATGCACCTTTAGTCCCAGCTACTTGGGAGGCAGAGATGGGAGGATCACCTGAGCCCGGGAGGCTGCAGTGAGCTTGATCACACCACTGCATGTCAGAGCCAGACTTCAGGTCAAAGAAAAAAAAAAAAAAAAATGAGCAGATGTTGCCAGTTCCTCATAAAGGGTGATTTTTAATAAAATACGTTATTGTGATAGAATGATCAGATTTTCAAAACAAAACATATGGATTGATAGAATAGATTATTAAATAGGTTATTAAAAGGAGACTCTCTCTGTTTCAGTGACAGCTGTGGCACAAAGGCCAAAATAAAGCAATGCATAGCAGGAACCCTAGTTCCAAAGAGGGGTGTGATAACCAGGCATTGCAGAGCAAGTAGCTAGACAAGTTTTGAAATATTTAGTTCAGTATTCACCTTGAGGGTCTAAAAAGAGTTGAGAGTAAAGAGGCAGTGGGTTTTCTTGGGGAAAGTTGTTGGAATGTTGGCGTTTTCCCTCTGTACACCGCAGGAGAAAGGTGTACAGGGGGAACATACCAGAGGTGACTGCTTTCCCTTCAAGCTTGGTGCGTGTTCCTTGCAATTTGTGGGACATAATGGTCTGCTCTTTTGTCACTTTATCTTGTTTATATTCCATTTTTAGAGTTTTTGCCCCTACTGTTATTGCATTTTTTTTGGAGTATGTGAAATACTAACATACTTACCAGAACTATATAAAAAGTTACACTCAGAGAAGTATCACCCCTCCCCCACCATTCTTTCCATTCCATTTCAACCACATCTCATTCTTTCCACCCCATTCCTACCTTCCTCCTGAAGAATCTCATTCATTTTTAGTTTATACTTCCTGTGTCTTTTGCACAAGTGAATAATTTTTTATTTCTCCTTTTTTCTTATACTAAGGATAGTAGCTTGTAGATACTCCTGCATTTTCCTTGTTGCACTTGCACTTAACAATATATCCTTCAAATTCCTCCTAATCTGAAGTGATCGGTTTATAGAGATCTTCTGCACCGTTTTTTTTTTGAGACAGAGTCTCACTCTGTTGCCCAGGCTGGAGTGTGGTGGCATGTGATCTTGGCTCACTACAACCTCTGCCTCCCAGGTTCAAGTGATTCTCTTGCCTCAGCCTCCCGAGTAGCTGGAACTACCTGCAACCATACCCGACTCATTTTTTTGGTATTTTTTTAGTAGAGATGGGGTTTCATGGTGTTAGCCAGGATGGTCTCCATCTCCTGACCTCAGGTGATCCACCTGCCTTGGCCTCCCAAAGTGCTTGGATTGTTTTTTATTGACATCTGCAGAGTAGCACTCTATTGTGTGGATAACGACTCTTTTCATACAGACATTTAATTGTTTTCAA